GTGCTTGCGACTCACCGATAAGTCTGAGGGCTTACATCACTAAAAATCGGGTTTCGATTCCCTCAGTAGGCAGAGTACAGATTTTGTATTTTTGTGCTTAACAACAAGCCCCCAGTGGCACAGTGGTATGTCTTAGGGCTTACAACACTAGAAACCGGGTTTCGATACCCGTGGTGGGCAGAGTACAGATAGCCCATTGTGTGGCTTTATGATACTTTCAAAATTCATTAACCTCCTTACTTGAGAAAGTCCTTTAACCCCTAGAATCGTTTCCATCTGCCCTGCTGCTGAAGTTTCGCAGCTATCTTCCCCTAGTTAAAGACATAGAAATAATACTGTGATGTTTGATTGTTGTTAAGTTCTGTTTGTTTGAAGTTAAGCAACTGTCCTGCTAAATCAGTGACACAGAAAATCACCCAGTGACTTTAATAACGAAAATATATCTAGTGTCGTTTTGTAAATACAATGAAACTTACATTAAGTCGAAGACCACGAACTGCGTTTTTATAATATAGAGCACAAACTGACTGTTTAAAAACTCCACCACCGAAGTACAAACATACACCGTCAATGAATATGTCATATTGATCACCATTTTGAAAAGAATGAATTAAAGAAGTAAAATAGAGATCTTCCTTACCTTGGGTATCAAGAAATACTTTTAATTTATCGTTGTAATTTAATAGTAAAAAAATTAAGCACAAAGCTGCTAAACATTGAGCTGTCTGTGTTCTGCCACCTAGGGTATCGAAACCCGGTTTCTAGCGTTGCAAGTCCGTAGACATAGCGCTGTGCCACTGGGAGAGGACATTTCATATTATATAAAGAAGATAGTTATTCATGAGTAAACTGGAATTGACACCAACTGCCTTTTGTATAAATATAAGTGTAGAGGATGACGATTCGAAAGTCTTTTGTCTTCAGGAAGACTTTCGAAACGTCGTCCTCTATACTTGTGTTTTTACAACAGGCAGCTGCCATCCATTCCAGCTTACTCGTCATGAATACTCTGTCTAAACAATCTATCAAAGATAGTTATTGTTTAAAATTGATTATTTTCCCTTTTTCTATATTAGCAATACACTATTAATTTAATAACACGACTAGAAGCACACAGATCTGCCATTCTGAATATCGTCTCTTTCGTTCCTAGATTTGGTCATGAACAATGACATCACCTTTGGCAGATTTCCGTAACGTATATGTATCGGGCTCCGAAGCTGCCGAAACCACTGACTAATGAAAAACATATCAGCGTAAACATATTTTTTCTCTTTAAAAGGAGATTAAGGACGGCAAGTAGAAGACAGATATATCACAAAATACAATTGTAGCATCTTTGTTTATTAACAGAATTAACGACTGACTTATGTCGCCAAAAACATAGATTTAAGTACATAATTATATTTAAAGATAAATCATTACAAATGTAAAAAATTGAAAAATATCAGAAAACAAACATTCTTTCACCTTAAAAGCCAATTAAAGATAGCCAGTAGAAATCAGATATACCAGTATAACATCTTTTTTTATTAACAAAATTAACGACATATTCGTGCTTCCTGCCACATATATCTATCTACGGTAATTATATTTAACGCAAAATAATTACAGGTTTTAGTTTCAGTAAATTCAGCTGAATATATTATAGTATTAAACCTGTTACTTAATTATTTATTGTTTTAGTAATGAATTTCCAGATAGAAAAAAATTTACTTGTACATAACTTACAAATATAACGATCTTCTGAAATATAGTTGAACAGTGTAATCTTTTAATAAAATGTTTAATCTATACACTACGCCCCTTACTAAAAATTATATGAAGCGTTCACTGTTGACGTTATGCACCCTATATCAGAAAATAAATGGGGTGAAGTAAGTGTTAAGAACATATTATGTACAGAATTCAGTGTTTTTCTTTGTTTATGAAAAAGATAACGACAAGCGCATTTGCAAATTGTTTTCGAATAAGTGGAACATTTAAGAACTGAACAAAGTGACAAATAAAAACGGATTTGTCTTTAATTCCTTTACTTAACTAATACAAAAAAACGGACTTTCGAAGCAAGAAAAATCAAAGATTTTAGGCAATCGTTAATGTACTACATGATTGTCACTAAACATATATAAACGTAACGAATAGACTCGTATTTTTTTACACTAGCTATCCCTAGGCCTTTTCAATATTAATCTATTTAAATAAAACTAAATACAAGACTAAAAATTGATATATATATAATTGGAAAATTAGAAGTTAAACATCAAGAAAGCTTATATTCATTACAAACCTAGTTCTCTTTTTCAAATGTGATCTTTTTTTCTTGGACTGTGTTTTAATGTTAATTATTTTAGAACTAAGTTTTTCCCCTCTTCATTTTACTTCGGTATCAACAATATGATTTTCTTACACATGACTGTACTCAGCTGTTTATATGCCACATCTCTATTGTAAAAGCTTGCATCAACTAACCTCCACTTGTCCGATGAAGATCTGTAGTGCGAGTTTAAATGTGTTGATCATCCAATTACTGACAGATGAAGCATTTTAAAACTGCTAAACTGATCTTTCTTCACCACCTAAAATTGCTTTTAGGCAACACGATATCTTATTGAAATAATATTTGATTTTATCTTTGACACTTTATTAAACAGAATCATTTTCAATCCACTAACGAGTTCAAGAAGAAATAGAATTGGTTTACGTTACCTCTCCTAATCCATAGTTAGCAGAAATTGAAATGTAAGACGGATGTCCCGTGACTGGGTGAGAAGTGAACATTACTCCAGCCACTTGAGATGGCACCATCTCTTGTATTACCAATGCCATGTGCGAGTCTACTGGCTGTCCGTTCTGCCTACAAGAAACAACAGTCAAGTTTCTTTGTTTACTTTTTTAAGTATAAAGCTGTAAAATGTACTATCTGTGTTGTGTCCACTGCAAGGATCAGACCTAACATTTTAGTCTTATAATCCTTCTCAGTTGTACTGCTGAACCACCAGGGGAGCTCATCAACTACGTGTAAAACAAAAGTCACACAGGAACAAACCTAATCAGATTTGATCTTGCTTGTTTTGTTTTTTTGTTGTTGTTTTGTTTTATAAAAGTGTAAATAACGAGACAAATTAGTATGTTTAGTTCCAAGATTTAACATTTGGGAATTTGAAAAATAAAGTGTACTAACCAAAATGTATACATAAACATGTAGTCTCTGATTACTGAGTATAATATTATTTCATTTTTTTGTGTAACTTACTTTGCATGGGTTTACATAGTAAAGTGTTTTAGCAAAGTGCGAGTCCAACGGAAACTACTGAGATAGTACCTGCGACATTGGACTGAATTAAACGCCACAGAGGAGGCCCAACATCGACTAATAGCTGTGTAAACCTATAGAAGAAGTAAATAACGTATATTAATACATGGTACTTCTTCGGATAGTTGACATAATGAAAATACTATAATCATTTTAAACCTGTCGGTAATGTGATTAAGTCATATTTATTTTATTTTTTTTGATTTTCAGTCTTATTGTGAAGCAATAATGTGATATATGTGAAACATATAAAACTTACATCCAGAGATTTATGTTGACCTATAAGAAAATCAAGTGACAAACATGGAACATGTAATAAATGTAATGTTTTAGGAACGCAAGCATATAAAACACATCAGTTGTTGATATTATTGTAATATATCAATTTTAATCAATATCCTGGAAACAGTTGGCTACCAAACTACAAGATACATATTGCTAAAGAACTCAGTCAACTGCTACTAATCAAATAAAATAAAGATCACAGAGAGATTAAGCACAGAAAAGCTGATATTGCTCGTAACTGTTGTGTTCAGCTATTTTTTTCCTCTCACGTTATGCATTTTAAAATATTCACCTATATAAACTTGTATGGTGAATGAAGTATGAATGCTCCCCCTATGCATTTTAAAATATTCACCTATATAAACTTGTATGGTGAATGAAGTATGAATGCTTCTTCAGCCTTATAATAATTTTCGTAATGACATGA